GTGGAGAGGGAATTAATCGCTGGCTTTGGGTGGGCTGTGGGAGGATGGACGGGACGTGTCCTTTCACTTTGCATTTTGAGCCTGTTTGGTTCTCTTTTTGCGCTCCAAGCCTTGACCTTTCCAAAATGCTTCTCCTCTGAGGGCCTTCCCCAACCTGCAAAATTCCACGTACTCACTGCACTGAGGTTACAGAGCATCACGCCGTGGCATGGCTAAACTGGAAGACACTTCAGATTAGATATCAGTTAGAAATTAGATTAGATATTAGTAGGAAATATCTCCCTGTGACGGTGGTGAATCCCTTAGAGAAGCTGTGTCTACTCCATCCCTGGAAGTGTTCAAGGCCAAGGGTTGGAGCATCCTGGGAGAGTGGAAGGTGTCCCTGCCCATGGCAGTGTTGGACTAGAGGGTCTTTAAGGTCTCATTCAGCCCAAACCTTTCTGTGGTTCCACGAGTCTGTGGTTGGAGGTGGTGCACAGCAGCTCAAAGCTGTGTCTGTAACTGCAGTTGTGAGGAGCTGTGCTGGCACAAAGCAGCTCACCTTTCCTTTTACATTTTGGGTGACTTTTCACATCCCACCAGCCCTAGACCAGAGACCTCTCACACCATCCCCATCCACGAGAGCCCACAGGGGCACTTCCAGCCTCCCAAATGGGCCATCTGGGTAATTAGCAATAAGGGAAAGTTGTCTCCCATCCTGGCTGTCCCCATCCCACACACACTGTATCGCAGGCCCGGTCATGGGATACACGTATCCGGACATGAAATCATGTTTTTGCAGCGGACTCATTTCCTCCTGTTTGGCCGCCGAGCTCGCGGATGCGTGGCGGGCTCGCGCCCTCCTCCCACAGATCCACCCCACACCCAGCACCAGAGGTTTGGGTCTTCTGAGGGATGCATGCAGGAAGAGAAGAGCAGACCAACCTTTAGTCTCAGTGCTGCTGAGTGCTGTCAAAATACCCCTGGTAGCTGCTAAATTGCTCTCATCTTCCCTCAAATGTAGAATTGGTGATGGTCCAGAAAAGTGAAAGCAAAAAAGAGTTCTTGGCGTGCCAAAATGCAGCCAGGAAAGTCAGGGGCAGATGGTTTTTTTCTGACTTCTGGAAAACAGGTTGAGGGACTCTGGTTGAAATTCAAGTGGGCTTTCTTTAGGGAAGGGTCTCCTCTGGGTAAGGGGAGTGATAACTTGGAGGTTCTCTCCTCCATCCTCCTCCTCCTCTCTCACTGATGTCTTAAATCCTTTTATCTCCGGGGCTCACGGCGTGAAGGGATCACTTGTTCCCCACAAAAGGACTTACTGTATCTTTTGTGAGTGATTTTCATGCTGAAACAGGCCCCAGACATAATCCTGTCCTGTCTGGCTGTTCTTAACAGAGGTTTTCTCCTCCTTCAGCCAGATCCTTTTCGTTTCTTGTGTTGGGGACAGTTGTCAGGCAATACTGGCCCCCAGCCCAGGCAAACAGGGGCTCGTTACCAGTCATTACCCCTGGGTCTACCACTGAAATTTGGCACAGGTGGCCAGCAAGGGAGGAAGAGATTAAAAAAAAACATTTTCTGGCATTTGAAAGAGGTACAGTACATGTGGAAGGAAAACAGTGACTCCTGGGACTGTGGTGCTTGTTCTGCAGTTGTTTCTGCTTTGGAGTTAAGTTTGCAATGGGTTTGCCTAAGACAGGTCTTTTGTGGGTGGTGATCCTGCAAGACATCAAAAAAAATATGTAATTTTTCTAAATGAAATGCATTTTTTCCCAAAGCTGCAGTGAGACAGAGTCCCTGGACAAACAACATTAAGCTCAGAGCAATAAAACTGCAGGAAGGTATTGAGCCCCGTGACTGCAGCAGCACCTTGTGCTGAGAAAACAGTTTCATTTAATGCAGCAGGATAGAAAAGGTAAATTTTGCTGACAGAAAGGTGCCCAAAAGCCTGCAGGAGGGGTGTGGGGATGAATATTGTTGCTCCTCTGTGGGAAGGGATCTCTCCCAGCTGTACCCACAGCTCCTCTCCAGTGGTGTGGTGCAGGTCCAGCTCGTGATGCTTGATCCTACTTAAATCACTGATCCTTGCATAATGAGGAAGAATAAATGGATTTTTTAACATCTCTTGACCTTAGTGAAGAGGAACACTAGGAGTGGGTGCAGAGATACAGAAAGATAAAATACTAATGAGATTTTTGGGCACCAACTTGAGTCTTGATTCTTCTCCCTTCTCAAAGAAATGAAAAAAGTAATTTCTTTTTGGGGCTGTGTCACTCTGTGTGCCCCAAAAAAGACCCTGCTACCACCCCAGCCAGGACAAGCCTGGAGGATCTCACCAGATCTCTCCATCAGCAGAACAGCCCCTTCCTTTGGACTTCTGCCCTCAGTTTTTTACTAAAAGTGGTAACATCCTATCTGTATCTCCCCAGGGTGGGACAGAGAAGTACTGGGCCGGGGATCCTGGTTCCTTGGATCACAGGGTGATCCCAGCTGGCCACCAAGACTGGCCTAGAACCAAAGCATGGTCCTGTCCCCTTCCCTTGGACCGAGTTGAATTGAATTGTCTTTTTGACCTCTCCTTGGAGCCTTTAATTTCTGCCCCTCTGGGATGAGGCTGGGGCATGAAGAGGAAACAAGAGCAGTGGGGGATTTCCTCCTTCCTTCCTTCTAACCCTTTCTTTTTTTATGTCTCTGTTGTATTGTTTCTACCTTTGGGGACATTTTTTGTACTTCTTTTGTTGTCAGGCCCCCTGTCAAATTTTCACACCCTATTTATGGGACAGACCCGTTCTGTGGCTCACTGGATGCCTGGTCTCTCCCCAGCTTGGTGCAACCATCGCTGACAATTCAAGCCACACAGATTGATAACACAGCTAAGGAGGTGATAGATCAAAACTCCCTCCTATCTTCAGCACCTGGCGCTTTCCTGTCAGGACCTTGTGATAGTGTTTTACTTCTTTACCTCTTCTTATCCCACAGACAGTGTTCAGCCTATAGGAAATATGATTTATCTCCACAAAAGCCCTTTTCCTGCAGATGTAATGGAAATGTTTTCTCACAAGCCAAGTGTTTCCTAAAATAATTCATGCTGTTACTTTCAGTTACACTCACATCTTGATTGTGTTTCCAAGAGTGGCTGCTCCTGGTGGCTGGTGGGGAAACCATGTTTTGGGAGGAGATCTGAACTTTCACAAAGGCATGGAGTGACACGACAAGGGGTCATGGCTTTAAAGTGACAGAGAGCAGGGTTAGATGGGACATTAGGAAGAAATTCTTGGCTGGGAGGGCGGTGAGGCCCTGAAACAGGTTGCTTAGAGAAGCTGTGGTTGCCCCATGTTTGGAAACATTCAAGGCCAGGTTGGATGGGACTTGGACCTGGGATAGTGGAAGGTGTCCCTGCCCATGACAGGAGGGGTTGGAATGAGATGATCTTTGAGGTCCTTTCCAATGCAAATCAGTCTGTGGTACTGTGATTCCCCTGAAATGGTCAGGCAGATGTATGACCTGATCAGTGTAGGTCCATTCCAACTGAAATATTCTCTGTCCTCTATCTTCTATTCTATTCTATTCTATTCTATTCTATTCTATTCTATTCTATTCTATTCTATTCTATTCCATTCCATTCCATTCCATTCCATTCCAATCCATTCCCTGTTTGGATGCCTATGCAAGGCCCAGCTGTAGCTCCTCTGCCTCCTCCAAACCCACTCTGTCCCCAGGCAGTTCCCACAGGAACTCAAACTTGTTGCAGCCTCCCCATCCCAAATCCCACCTCCTGAGTCCTTCTCAAGCCAGATCCTGACATGGAGGAGCTAAATTTTCCCACCAGAAACTTGAGCTTCATCAGATCTTTGATGCACAATCAATGTCAACAGACAGGCTGTATAAGAGAAGATACTCTGCCTGTGTGCCAGCACAGAGAAGCAAAGCAGATCTCTGGAGAGCAGCATTAGGCTAAAAATCAATCCTTGGATGTGTGACTCCTGTTTTGGAGGGTTGGAAGTAATGTATGAGTGCTTCATGGGGAAAAAAAATTATAGCAGTTCTTCTGCACAGTCCCCAAATGGAAGAACCTTCTCCCCAGATCAGGTCGTTGCCTTGACCCCGGAGGGATCCATGGATAAAGTGGCTCAGCCCATGTTTTCTGAAAAGTGAAAAATTGGTCAGTCTTTCCAGGGGTGAATTTGAGCAAGAGCCCAGAACTGGTGGTCACCATGTGAGGAAATTGTGGCCACTGATGGAGCTCCTGCAGTGATTACAAACACTGGATAGACAGTGGAACAAACACAAGAATAGAGCCAGGTTTTTGTATTGGTTTAGCAGTGAAAATACCCCATTTTGGCATTTCAGCACATTGCAGAGCTCTCTGCTGTGGGAGAGTTCTCCCTTGTCAGCTGAGTTGTCCTTCAGCTGCATCTCCCACTGAAGAACAGCTTCAAAATTTGAAAATTTAAAGTATTCTTCAGAAACCAAACACAGATATCTTTGCATGTGATAATGTGAGATAATTGTTTAGGCTTAATGACCTTGGAGGTCTTTTCCAGCCTTGATGATTCTGTGATTGTGTGTCACCTTATCCCTTCAGAGATGTGGGAGACACTCATAACAGGGCTGGACAATTGCAGTCAGTGCATCCCTCAGCTGTCCCTTTACAAGGGCTGGATCTACTTTATTTTGGGGACAACTTGCAGGCTGTGCATGGAAGCTGGTGGACCTCCCATCTGAGGGAGACTTCCCATGCTGTCCTGAGACCCAGCAGGTCTTGTCCTCCTGCTCTCGCTCTGAAGTCCTGTGAGTTTGATTATATTTGGAGGTTCCTCTTGAACTCCTCTGCTCTACTTCCTGCTGGACACAATGGGACCAGAACGTGGAATTTGATATGACTTTGGAGAGCACGAGGCAAGCCCTGAGTGAATGACTTGTGGCTTATGCCAGTGTTTACTTCTACAAATACATGTTCTGAGGGGAAACCAAGGGCAGATTCCTTAGTTCAGCGTTTACCTTGGCATTTTTACTTTTCCCAGGTGTCAACTCTCAGGAAAATGCAGATTCTGCAAGCCCAGGAACAAGCCCGTCCACCATAACCACAGCAACCACCGCAGTGGCCACACCTGCAAGCGCTGCAGAGACCTCACCAACCACTGCTGCATTATCACCTACCACAGACCAAATCACCACCGCCACCACCACTAAGACTAAGGAAGCAGCCACTCAGCCAGCTGTGGCAGATTCCACCACTGCTCAAAGCAGCCCCACCACTACCAACCTGTTAGAGTCATTGTCCCCCTCTGCACCGTCACCGAGCACAGCGGTCGCAACATCGGGGACAGCATCGCCTACCACCATGACCCTGTCCCACACGTCAGGGCAGGACAGCCCCTCACAGAGCACCACCATCCCCACAACCACCCCTGCTGCACAGCCCACTGCTTCCCAGCAGCCCAGTGGTGCTACAGCCACTTCAGGAAGCTCGGAGACCACCGCTGCTGCAGATCTTGTCACTAATGCAACCAGTCCTCCGGGAGCTGTAGGGGCTGTTGGCACATCCTCTCCCAGCACACAGCCTCAGGGAAACCAGCCATTGGGTCATTTGCCTAACACCACTGTGAGCACCACAGTGCCGAGGACTGACCCTTCCCAAAGCTCCAAGGACTGTCCTGTCTCTCCTTCCCCGTGTGACACCAAGCAGCCTCCTTCTTCTTCCAGTTCTCCAGTCCAGGGACCAACCCCTTCCACCAGTTCTGGAAGCGCTGGCACTTCTGTTACCCCTCTGACTGGATCCCCGTCCCTCGCCACCACCCCAACATTGCAAAATGGCAGCAAAGACACGGTCCCAGACACAGCCGCCACGACAACTCCTGGGGCAGGTAACAGAAGACAGGAACCTTGGTTTCTTGTGCTGGGGAAGCCTTTTTGTGTTTTCCTCTGGCTGCCCTAAACTCCTGCCATTATGGGCTGTCACCACCTTGTCTCATTTTAGGATTTCCAGGGCAGCTGTCTGCGTGACAAGCGCATGTTTAGGTCCCTGTTGTCCTTGGTGGAGGTCGAGTCAATGCAGTCAGTGAAATTCAAGAAATGAATCAGCTGGCAAAGTGCAGGCATTGGCTTCTGAATGGACCAAATGGTGCCTGAAGCACCATCAACTGCAGTGACTCGATCTTCAGTGACGGCAAACAGGAGCAGCGGCGATGGGTTGGGGACGGAGGCGGGAGAGCTGGGGAATCAGTGTGACAGCCCCCGGAATGCTGCCCCTGGAAGATCCCTGGTGCAGCTGACAGCTTAGGGAAGGCTGTCTGGGCATGCACAGAAAATGAGCTTTAGATGACTAAGGAGATTTTGTGGCTCAACTCTGAGTTTACAACCCCTGAGGAGTCTGACTTTGGTAGGACGTTCATCAGCTGCGGGAGGGCTTTGGCTGCTGACTGCTGTCTAAGCACCATTAGGAGTGTCCACGTGCTGTTTAGGACTTTGCTGAGCACCAGTAAGGTGTTTTCTCTGACCTCTGGAGTTTTACTGTTGTGTTAGTTCCTAGATGTCCTGGTGAAGCACAGTTCAAACTCCCAAACTGGATTTTTGTCTGGTAGCATTTACAGGGAAATCATCACCCTGTGGGACTGTGAGGGCTCCAGGGAGTCTTCCAGACTTGGCTGGGGTTTTGGGTTCAGCTCACATCTGGCTCTGAATTAAAGCTGTGATCACACTGGAGCCCTTCATTCTCTTCCCCTGGAAAATGCTCTTCTTGACCTGATTTCTAGTTACCTGGAATACAGAAGCCATTCAAAAACCATCTCCATCCCCTTCAGCCCCCCAGCTAGTGCATCACTAAATGAGCCAAGGTTTTATTGCAAGGCCATCTCCACTGGCTTTCACCACATCATGTTTTCATGTATGGGCAGGAACGAAGTGAAATGGATATTTTCATGAAGGATGTTTCTTTTTCTTTTCTTTCCCCTCCTGCTCCACAGAACTGCTCTCCACTGGAGGATGATATATGAAATTATGTTAATTCAGATTTGGCCTCAAGCATTAAGCCTGAAGAGGTCTAAAAAACCCTTTATATTTAATAAATAGCTGGCAGAATGCATGAGAAACAGATGGCTTTGGAATTAATTCTCTCCTGGAGCCTTCAGAATGTGTCTGGGAGAGAAATATTCCTCATCTTTTCTGTGGAAGAGGCAGGAGTCCTGAGAGCAAACAGGCTGTGAGCATCCCGTGGCATTTTAATTCTCTTTGTCACCACTTAAGGATGAATTAGGAAGCCAGGGATGAAGATCCATGTCTTCAAAGGGGTCTGGGGAGGCAGGAGGCTGCTGTGCTCCTTGCACTACTCCCAGTGCACAAACAATTCTAAGATGCTACAGAACTTAACCAAGTCCTCAGAGGCGACCTCAGTTTTCAGAGACACCTGAATGAGGCTGGTAGATCTGGGACTTGTGCCCTTCTGGAATACCAGGAAGGACACCCCAGGCTGTCTCCTGTAGAACCAGGCACTACTTCTAAGCTTGTCATCCTGGAATGTTTCCATGGAGGTGCAGTCAGCAGAGGTTATGGCATTACATCCCCTCCCAACAGAGGTGAGTGGCAGATCCTGGGTAGCCAGGTCTGCGTCTGTTGAGGAAACCTCCATGGAAGGTACCCCAGATAAAGTGAAACCAGATAAAGTCACCCCATACTTCTAAGTGATTACCCAGCTACCCACACGCAGCCATGCAATGGCCTTTGGTTCCTCTCTCCAGAACATTCTGATGAGTTTCAGCAGCAGAAAAGAAAATTAGTAATCAGCTCCTTTCCATATCAAAGTTAATTTAAAAGAGATATAAAATTAAAGAAGCAATCTAAAGCAGCATTTGACACAATGAGCTTCAAGGCAGGGCTAGAGATGAAAACTGATTTTGAGGTGATCCCTAACAGAGCTGTGCCAGCTGTATCCTCTATATTGTGTCAGTGTCTCTCTGCTTGTTTTTTGGTGCATATTGGGGAGCCAGACCAGAGTACCCACGATGCTGGATCTGCACCAACCAAACCCACCAGTGCCTCCCAGAGCCCTGACGGTGCCCAGCCACCAGTTCCAGCCTCGGGGGACCAGACAGAGAGCTGCAGTTCTGGCCACCAGCACCCCAACATTTCTTACCCAAATGAGGTAATGGCACCAAATGGGAAGGTGGGCTCCTCTCAGTGGTGTTAATTTAGCTGCCATCCCACGTACACCTGGAGTCTGTGGTTCTTCTCACTGTTTCTGTGTCAGGGAGAGAAAGATCTGCCAGCAAAGTAATTCCAGGTTGTAGAATCACTGAACTATTTGGGCTGGAAAGGATCTTTAGAGGTCATTTACTCACATCCATTTCTCCTGGAGCTTTCCAGAGAAGAGACGATGAGGATGGAGGTGAAGGGGAGTGTGAAAGGGGAGGGACCTGGAGCACCAGGAGCAGCTGAGGGAGCTGGGAGGGCTCAGGCTGGAGAAAAGGAGTCTCAGGGGGGACCTTCTGGCTCTCTACAACTCCAAGGAGGGTACAGCCTGGAGGGGGTCAGGCTGTGAATGATGAAATGATTGAAGAAACAAATGATGGGCTGTTGGATTGGTGACAACTGTCCTTCCAACTTTTGTCCACCACTGAGAGTTGCTTTTCTTTTGCCTTTCCAGCTCATCTGTGATGACCAGGCGCAACATACCAGGCCCACCATTCAGCTGAAAGAACCCAGAACCTGTGTAAGTACCACCTTTTTGACTTCCATGGAGAATTAACAGCTGTTGGAGGTTCAGATTTTAACCCTTAAGATTGAGTATGTGAGAAAATGCTCAGAAATAAGGGAATTTCATCAAAGATGCAACCAATGTAAACTGGTGAATGCAAACCCATGTTCAGCAGTGTCACCAGTGGGGGATGTGGCAGGAGAAGAAGAGGACAGTGTTGTCTTCTCCAAGTAGAAAACCAGCTAAGCCCACCCAGATCTTACAGAAAGACCATTTTATAATAGAAATTTTTAAAATGTAAATCTTTCTGCTAGCAGGAAAGCTTTTCGCCTAAATTGAGGGGCTGGAATTTTGTCCCAAAGCCCAAGAAAAAAATGAGATGTTCCTCCACAGTTATTGTGCACTTGTGAGATCTTGTACCTCACACTGGGGTAGGGTGGCATCCCACTGCAGAGCAGCTGGGAAGCAGAGGAGTTTAGGACTCCCTGTGCTCCTCAATGATCTCATAGAACCCTAAAGTGAGAGGAAAAATACTTTATTTTGCTTGCTTCAGACCCTCTACAAGACCAGGGAGCAGTGAAATGTGGTGGGAAGGCTGGGGGCAGGCAAGCCCAGCCCAGGACCACACACCAAGACCCTTTCTGGTGGGTGGGCACTGCCTGCTGGTGTTCCTGAGGGATATCTGCCTTCAGAATGGTTCTGGTGGAAACTGAACTTCCTGCAATAGGGCAGATGCACTATACTGATGAGTTCCAAATAGAAAGAAGTTTTAAGTTGGTGATAATGAGGCAGAGCCACCAGTAAATGACTGGTGAGGTCCTGACACAGCGACTGTAGGTCGGGCTCGGGGTGGGTTTTGGCATGATAATGTTCTGGCTTCTGGCAGTGTAAGCAGTGGAAAACTGGCACTTCATGGACCTTCTCACAGCCTGTGCCATGGGCAGGGACACCTTCCACTAGACCAGATTGCCCCAAGCTCTGTCCAGCCTGGCCTTGGACATGTCCAGGGATGGGGCAGCCACAACTTCTCTGGACATCCTGCTCCATGATGTCTCACCATCCTCACAGTAAATAATTTCTTCCTAATATCTAATCTAAATCTCTCCTCTTTTAATTTAAAACTGTTCCCCTTTGTCCTGTCACTCCCTGTCCTAAGTGAATCACAGAATCAGCCAAGCTAGAAGGGACTCTCCAAGTGAAGCCACACTGTGTTCATAAAACCCCTTCGACACATTGTGAACACAGCTACTGACCACAGCAGCTCTTGAAATTCCCTGTGCCTGGGTGATGGCCCTGCCTGGCAGCCCTGGAAAGGGCTTGGACCTCCCAGCATCATCCCCTGTGCTCCTGGAGGAGGGAAAGCACCTGACTGCTGTCTGTTGTCACCTTCCTAGTCCGGCTACTGCGGGGTGTGAATGTTCCTTGCCCACACACCTGCAGTAGAGGTGATGTCCTTAGTGATGCTGCTCTGGACACTGAGGGTCATTCCAAGGAGAGAACCTTATTTCCTTAAAGCCCCACAGGATCCCTTTCCCCATTTGATGTCTGGACATGGCTGCAGGTTCATGCTGGAAAAGCTTCTCATCAAATTTTGTATCGAATATATTAAAATACTCAATCAAATTGACAAAATCCATTTTTGGAGCCTAAAAAAACTTAGGACAGTGATGGTATTTAAAGATTCCCCCCTCCTTTTGGGCACAGTGATGTTCCAGAGCTGCTGTTCTTCCCGTGGAGTTGTACTGGGAGGCTTTGGAAGCAGGGATGGTGAGGCTGGGCAGCACCAGCGAGCTGAGGGATGGGCAGACACCACATCTTGGCATCATGGCCTGCTCCAGGGCCACGGAGCATTGAAGCTGGCAAGCCAGGGAGCCTCCCACCCTGCTTCCCTTTGATTCTTTTGGGTGTAATAACAAGCCAGAGCATTGTTAGCACAAAATGCCAATTACACCCCAAAACAGCCACAGAAAGGCTGCAGGGCTGCAAGGGTCCATCCTCCCATCCCATCGCCCTCCTCGGCTGCCAAAGCGCCTCCCCCCTGCACTCACCCTTAACTTTCCACTCATTTTATTCCTGAATATTGCAGCCCATTTTGTGCCTCCCAAGCTGAGCAGATAACAGAGAAATGGCACTATCTGGTTTCCCTGCTTTGTAGGCCCGGTAAACACGTCTGTAGCCAAATCCTGACAGCAAAGTGAAAAAATCCTTTGCGGTTCACAACCCGTGGGAAAACAGGAAAGTGTGTGCTATAAGGAGAAGTGTTCCAGAAACAGCTCTGATCCTGCTCCGAGAACAAGCCAGAGTCAGGGTGGCATTGTACTAAAAATTTAGATCCAGCAAGAAGCCAGGGCAGTGTGGGGGGACCAGTGGTGGGGGACGTGTCTGGATGACACAGGGCAGGGGACACTGCAGAGCCACCCACCCCATTCACACTGGGCTGGTGGGGCAGCACCAGTGATGGGGGCACCCCAGCAAACAGCTGGGACTGAACCCAGGAACTGCAGACCTTTCACCCCACCACACCTCAGCTTCTCCAGAAAACTAGGAACTCAAATTATAAATCCTTCAAAAAAAGCCAAATATATAACTGGTACCATTTGGTGGACTATAGGTGTTTCAGAGGCTGGTTGGTGCCCTGCATCTTTCCTCTTCAGGTGATGCTTTAAACAATGCTGAACAGTTTGGTCCATGTCCCCCCACCTGCTCCTTCTCATTCCTTTGATTACAGTAGGATCTTAATGAGTGTTTTAATAAGTCTTATTAGCTCAATGTCTCACATTCTATAGGATGACTTCTTCCAAGGTCTGGCTCACAAATGTATTTTCAGCTGTGTTTTCCCTGTCTTGGAAGGGATGGATGGATGGATGGATGGATGGATGGATGGATGGATGGATGGATGGATGGATG